CCCAGCCAGCTCCCAGCCCCATCCCAGTCACTCCCAGAGCGGCTCCAGGCCCTGCTCCGGCATTCCCCAGCGGATCCCCGGGGAAGCCGCAGCCCCTCCCTGCTCCGGGCTCACCTGGGGCTCACCTGGGGCCGGGTCCCCGCTCACCTTGGCCTCGTCCAGCGCCGCCCTGTCCATGGCCCGCAGCTGGGCCGAGAGCCGCCGCTGCTCCTCCAGCGCCTCCCGCAGCGAATCCGCCCGGCCGCGCTCGGCGGCGGCGCGGCGGCGCTCCTGCAGCGGCAGCGGGATCGGGAGCGGCCGGCACGGACCGGGCATGGACAGGGATGGGGACCGGGATGGGGACAGGGACAGGGACAGGGATGGGGACAGGGATAGGGATGGGGATGGGGACAGGGACAGGGACAGGGATGGGGATGGGGACAGGGACAGGGACAGGGACAGGGGGACAGGGACAGGGACAGGGACAGGGACAGGGATGGGGACAGGGACAGGGATGGGGACCGGGATGGGGACACGGACATGGACAGGGATGGGGATGGAGACCGAGACAGGGATGGGGATGGGGACAGGGTGGGGACAGGGACAGGGATGGGGACAGGAACAGGGGGACAGGGATGGGGACAGGGATGGGGACAGGGTGGGGACAGGGACAGGGATGGGGACATGGACAGGGATGAGGATGGGGACAGGGATGAGGACAGGGTGGGGACAGGGACACGGACAGGGACAGGGATGGGGACTGGGATGGGGACAGGGTTGGGGACACTGACAGGGATGGGGATGGGGACAGGGGGACAGGGTGGGGACAGGGACATGGGGACAGGGACAGGACAGGGACATGGACAGAGATGGGGACAGGGACAGGGATGGAGACAGGAACAGGGATATGGACAGGGATGGGGATGGGGACAGGGGGACAGGGTGGGGACAGGGACAAGGACAGGGATGGGGACCAGGATGGGGACAGGGTGGGGACAGGGATGGGGACAGGGACAGGGGATAGGGGACACGGACAAGGACAGGGGACGGGGACACCAGACAGGTACACAGGAAATGGGACATAGACAGGGACAGAGGGACAAGGACAGAGGGATAGGCAGATAAGGGACAGAGACAAGGACAGGGGACAGGAAAAAGGGGACAAGGACACAGGGCACAGGGACAGGGATGAGGACAGAGACAGAGGAACATGGCACGGGGACATGGACACAGCTCCAGGAGGGGTCCCAGTAGGAAGCTCCTCCAGCCAGGCACAGACAGGGACACGGACACAGGACACGGGACACGGACACAGGACACGGGCAGGGACGCAGCTTCAGGACAGCCACGGCTCTAGGATGGGGCCTCACCTGCTCCAGGAGCTGCTCCTGCTCTCCCAGCCTGGTCTCCAAGTCAGCCACGGCCTCCTGGAGCCGGCTCTGCTCCCGCTCCGCGTCCTGCTGCTGCTGGCACAGCCTGGCCTGGAGTGCTGCGAGGGGCACGGGGCAGCCCGGTGGGATGCAGGAGGTGGGATCCACCCCCCATCCACAGGGAGATCCCACATGGAAAAAAAGCCCCTGTGCTCCCGCTCCATCCTCTCCCAGGACATGGAGATCCCACATGGAAATCCCCAAGCTCATGCTCCATCTCCCATCCCATCCCATCCCATCCCATCCCATCCCATCCCATCCCATCCCATCCCATCCCAGGGAGATCCCACAGCGGGATCTGCCCACGGGGGGCAGGACTCTGCCAACCTCAGCTCCTGGGGTCTGGCTCGCCAGGGACAACTTGAATTATGTGAATTTAGTTAATTCTCTGAATTCTGTGAATTCTGAGAATTATGTAAATTCTGTGAATTTGGAGAATTCTGTGAATCCTGTGAGTTTGGAGAATTCTGTGAATGTCCTGAATTCCATGAATTCTGAGAATTCTGCAAATTCGGTGAATTTTATTAGTTCGGGGAATTCTAATGAATTTCATTAATTCCGCGAATTCTGAGAAATCCGTGAATTTCGCGAATTCCGTTAATTTGGAGAATTCTGTGAATATCCTGAATTCCATGAATTCTGAGAATTCTGCAAATTCTGCGAATTCTATGAATTTGGAGAATTCTGCGAATTCCGTGAATTCCACGGATTCTGTGAATTCCCTCAATTCCATGAGTTCTGCGAACCCTGTGAACTTCTGCAAATCCTGTGAATCCGGAAAATTCAGTGGATTCCACGAATTCTGTGAGTTCCGTGAATTCCGTGAACTCCTCCCGTTTCCCGAGGATCCGGTGGGATCCCGGACGGAGCAGCCCCTGTTTGAGCGCCGCTGGAGCAGCAGAGCCTCTGGCCAGGAATCCCCAGGAGGGCTGGGACAGGGATCTCCAGGCCCAGGGATCCCCCCAGGACTCCAGGACTTGTCCCGGGACCGCCTGGATTCTGTGGGATCGGCTCCGAGCCGTTGGGATGGAGCAGAGGGTCCCACTGGAACGATGCACTTGGAGGGAATTTACCTGCGAGCTGCTCGTGCTGCTCCTGGGATCCGGGGTGATCCAGGGATCTGGGGTGATCATAGGATGTGGGGTGATCCCGGGATCTGGGGTGATCCTGGGATGTGGGGTGATCCCGTGCCCCAGGGTGATCCCAGGATCTGGGGTGATCCTGGGTTGTGCGGTGATCCCGTGCCCCAGGGTGATCCCGGGATGTGAGGTGATCCCAGGATCTGGGGTGATCCTGGGTGATCCCGTGCCCCAGGGTGATCCCACGCCCCAGGGTGATCCCGTGCCCCAGGATGATCCCAGGATCTGGGGTGATCCCATGCCCCAGGGTGATCCCATGCCCCAGGGTGATCCCGGGATCTGGGGTGATCCTGGGTGATCCCGTGCCCCAGGGTGATCCCGGGATGTGGGGTGATCCCAGGATCTGGGGTGATCCCATGTCCCAGGGTGATCCCAGGATCTGGGGTGATCCCGTATCTGGGGTGATCCCGTGCCCCAGGGTGATCCCGTATCTGGGGTGATCCCGTGCCCCAGGGTGATCCTGGGATGTGGGCTGATCCCATATCTGGGGTGATCCCGCGCCCCAGGGTGATCCCGGGATGTGGGGTGATCCCAGGATCTGGGGTGATCCCATGTCCCAGGGTGATCCCGTGTCCCAAGGTGATCCCAGGATCTGGGGTGATCCCATGCCCCAGGGTGATCCCGGGATGTGAGGTGATCCCGGGTGATCCCGTGCCCCAGGGTGATCCCGCGGCCCAGGGTGATCCCGGGATCTGGGGTGATCCCGGGTGATCCCGTGTCCCAGGGTGATCCCGGGATGTGGGCTGATCCCGGGTGATCCCGTGCCCCAGGGTGATCCCGGGATGTGGGCTGATCCCGGGTGATCCCGCGCCCCAGGGTGATCCCAGATCTGGGCTGATCCCGGGTGATCCCATGCCCCAGGGTGATCCCGGGATCTGGGGTGATCCCAGGTGATCCTGTGCCCCAGGGTGATCCCGTGCCCCAGGGTGATCCCGGGATCTGGGCTGATCCCGGGTGATCCCGCGCCCCAGGGTGATCCCGGGGCCCGGAGCAGGGATCGGGGAGCCCAGGTGAGTCCCCGTTACCTGCAGCCGCTCTCCGGGAGGCGCCGCAGGACCGGGCCCCGCCCGTCCCGCTCCGGCTCCGGCGTCCGCACCTGCGGGAGCGGCACGGGCTCCAGGTGCCACCCTGCCGTGGCCCTGCCCCCAGGTGACCGCCCAGGTGACCCCCCAGGTGACCCCCCAGGTGACCCCCTCAGCCCCCACCTGCTTTTCCAGCTCCTCCAGCCGGGCCTGGAGACTGCGCAGGGCGATCCCACAGCCGGGATGCTCCCAGCACGGGTGGGATTGGAGAGTTTGGGAATCCTGGTGGGACGGGAGAGCTCCCAAATCCTCCTGGTGGGGCTGGGACGGGAGAGGTCCCAAATCCTCCTGGTGGGGCTGGGACGGGAGAGGAACCAAATCCTCCTGGTGGGGCTGGGACGGGAGAGCTCCCAAATCCTCCTGGTGGGGCTGGGATGGGAGAGCTCCTGGAGCCTCCTGGTGCCTCCGGGCCGGGAGAGCCGCGGGATGCTCCGGGAGAGCCGCGGGATGCTCCGGAAGAGCCGCGGGATGCTCCAGGAGAGCCGCGGGATGCTCTGGGCAGAGCCAGGATGGGAGAGCTCGGGGGTTCTCCAGGCGGGGTGGGGCTGGAGGAGCTGCTGGATCCTCCTGTGGGGACACAGGGATGCTCCAGGAGAGGCCTGGGAAGGGCAGCTCTGCTCTCCTGGGAATGCCGATCCATGGCCAGCCCCCCCCAGATCCCAGGGGATCCCCAGGGATCCTTTCCCGCTCCTGCCCCAGCACCCACCTGAGTGGGCGTGGCAGGACCCGGCACCTCCTGCACGGCTGGGGTGGAAAATGGGACAAATCCATCACTGGGACACA